AATATTATTATTATTATTAATTTAATTTAGTATTTGTTATTGTATTTTCATATGTATATTTCACTATCACTTAAATTTAAAATTACTAGTCATAGTTACTACTATAATTGCGAATTATTTCTAATCAATTCTCATTCCTTCAGTCCCTCTCTCTATGTTAAAACTCTGGTTCCTTATGTTTTCAAAACAAATACTTTTATCAAACTTCTGGTCTAGCGATGAGTAATTGCCTTGAACCACACTTCTCGCTTGAACATTGTCCTCAATAACCTCATCAACTCAATATTACGCCAATTTCCTAATAATTTTTTCATTAAAAATATTCAGATTACCATCTGAAGCATGTATTGAGTTGTTTCAAGCTCTTCCTGATGACAAAATACTTTAAACTAAAAGTTTTATTTTAATATATGATTCCTATTATATTATATCCCTATCATACCTAATAGGTATGATTCCTATTACAGTTTGAGTGAGTTTATGAATCAACAATAGGATACCATTAAACTAATACAACTATATCTCCTACTAGATAGATATAGTCCTTTATAATGGAATAGCAATGTACACAATCCATATTTTCATAAAGTTCATACTATAAAAATTTATTGGGGGGGAGGGAAGGAGGGGCTAAAACCCCGCTACGGCAGCATTGGGTGGCTCAAGCTCTGGGAGCCCCTGGTAGTTAGGGCCTATGTCGGCAACAATAAAAATTCTTAAAATTACTTCTTCCTGATTAATTATTTCCTGCTTTTTCCAATAATTTCTTGATATCAATTAACTACTAATCATTTCATATCACAATATTAAAAAATTTAATTACCTGGAATTATTTCTCAGAAATCAGCAATTTTCTTTACAATATAGTCTTGGTTATTGTCAGTCCTTCAGCTGCTTACAACAAACAATACTACCAGGCATTTCCTTCACCAGATCCTGACTGCTTGCCATTCACCAGTCTGTTGTTAAATCTGATAATCAATGTTGATGTTATTAACTTCTGTATATCGAATACTTTAGGTACTGAAACAGAACATTGTATTATATCACTAATGAAATATTGCATAATAATTTATCATTTTTATATTTCTGTATAATATTTTCCAAGGACACTACACCACAGGCGGTGGGTGTGGATCTAAGGGGGAAGTGGGGAACTTTTGGTCTCTGAAAGTATTATTGTTCATGTAATTAGTTACATTTAATAGGACTTCAAGTATCATTTAACACTATTTCATATATGTAGTTAGTTTCTTTTTTTTCCAAAGTAATTATCATTATATATATGAAAAAAAACCTATGGGGCTGAAGCCTCCCCAAAATTAAATTCTGGGTCTGCTAGTATATTACATCCTCAATTCATATCTTGTTCATTTTTGACCAAGTGAAAGGTGAGTTAAATTAATATATGAAAATAAAAGATAAGTCACTTATTTGAAAAAAAAGAAGATAAATGCTGAAATAAAGTTGCAAAACAAATCATATTAAAAATGAATATGAATAAAAAAAAAAAAATAGAATCAGTGTATAGTTAAAACCAATGTTGAATAACTTTAACTTTTTAACTTTAAGTATTATTGTTATGGAGTATTAAAACAAAAACAGATTCAACAATACTCTAATGAACGCCACTAGGGAACAGACACAAGCCAAGTATTGGTCTGAATCATTGTCGCCACCTTTATAGTTATATTTATTTATGCTTTATAAATTATATACATTAATAAAATACAAATCAAATTTATACAATTAATAAATAAAAAAACATAAAGCCAAAAAGTGTGTGCTTTAGACCACATGATAGAAGTGAAAAAATTAACAAGACTAGATTAATAAAATAAAATATAAATTATGAATAATAAATCGATAGGTCAAAAGTCGTCACACTAATGTGTATAATATTGTGATTTCACAAAGGGATTTTTTTTTTGGAATATATCGACGATTTATTCCCAATTATTTAAATATAATATAAGATCTAGAGTTATTAAACTACAATAAATGTATTTGAGGTTATAAACATATGTTTTAAACATTCATGAAATATTTTTATATTTCACTTCTTCTTTCACACAAGTACAATGAAATAGTTTATTAAACGATACCATTGCTTTGATCTGGTGGATTTTCAATATTTTTTTTTTCAAACTTAAAAATATTTTTAAATTTTACATTTCTGCATTGGAGCGCGGTATGTACTGCACGGGAGTCTTTCTCGACGTTGAACAGGCGTTTGATCGAGTCTGGTACCCGGGTCTTCTGTACAAACTCCGAAAAGTCCTACCCCCTACATACTTCCTCATTATCCGCTCCTATCTTACTGATAGATACTTCAAAGTAAACCAAAATAATGTCTTCTCATCCCTCTTTGCTCAATCTGCAGGCGTTCCACAAGGTAGTATCCTCGGTCCCATCCTCTACACAGTTTATACAGCTGACATCCCAACCCATCCTGACACTGTCATCACCACTTACGCCGATGACACATGTTTGCTATATGTTAATAACGATCCTTTAATTGCATCCCAAACTCTTCAATCACATATCACAAGCCTTGAAGAATGGTGTAAAAATTGGAGAATAAAAATAAATTCCAACAAATCCCATCAAATCACCTTTACCCTCAGTCGTAAAACTATGACTACTTGTCCTACAGTATCCTTCAATAATACTCCACTTATTCCTGTTGAGCAAATCCGCTACTTAGGACTCCATTTGGATAAACGTCTTACTTGGAATCCTCATACTAGACTGAAACGACAAGAAACTGCTCGACGTTTCCGACTGCTCCAACACTCACTAGACAAACGCTCCAAACTTTCTATTAATTACAAAAGACTTATCTACATAACTATAATAAGACCTATATGGACATACGGAGTTGAGCTTTGGGGCTCCACCAAACCATCGAATTCCTATCATATCCAATCCTTACAATCCAAAATCCTCCGTAAAATCCTTAATGCTCCATACTTTGTCACAAACAAAACCATTCATAAAGACCTTAATGTACCATATGTCGCTGATTTAGCTCGAGCCAGATATCTATCCTTCCATGATAAACTTCAGTCCCATCCAAATCCGCTTGTTTCCACTCTTGCTTCTTTCTCGATTCCTGATAATCCTCCTAGGCGTCTGAAAAGGAGATGGCCTCGTGATCTTCTTACTTAAAATTATTTAGAGAGTGCTACCACTGGGTAGTAACTCTTCAGGCCTGTACATGCCATTATTTATATTTGCGCATATTTACTTGTTGTATTTGTATACAGTTGTAAATTCCATTAAATAAACAAAAAAAAAAAAAAAAAAAAAAAATTACATTTAGTTAAGAACTTTCATTTGATTTCTTTGGAAACCTGTGATTACCGTTAAACAATATTAGTTTTCAATCATTATTTATAATTTTCCGTAACTCTCTGCGACTTCATATATTAGATATTGTTTTTTCTAAAATTCTCCGCTTTCCAACGATATATTACACGTATACCTTCTGACTAGTATTTCCGGAGATTCATTTTCGACCTAGATAAGCATTTTTCTTTTTTTCTCCTTTATTCGATTATGAAATTCTTTCAAAAGTTATATTTAGCCTTTTTGTATGTCTTCTAACGATGAGAGATACTTAATTATTTAACATAAACCAAATCAAAGGTACTTTAGAGGAGGACATGTTGAACATTGGGCATTTAAGCTCTGTAAAGTGAAATTAATGGGGATAAGACCTAACTGATATTAAATACCACTTAATACACTGATATACTGAGTTTAATCAAAATCGTTTTTGAGAACAATGTGTAACATCGTTGATATAAAGTACCACTTTAGGTTTGCCGATTTTGACGAAAATGTTGCTGCAACATCTCAGGCGTATAAAATCCTTAAATACACAATTTCAGAAACAAACATTGCACATCTATATCAATGATTTATAGAACAATGCTTTTCCTCTGTCACAAACAAAGTTATTAAAGTGACAGTTCACCGTTGGGGTGCTTGTATAAATCAGTTGAATGCTTCCATAAAATTTAAAATGTTAAATTTTTCAAAATTTTAACCAGGAACACACCGACAGCCCCATCACCGTCCACCAGCACATATATTAAGCTATTTAACAGTAGCTTTGAATTTGAGTTTTTAAAGAAAATAAATATTTTGAAGTCCCGAGAATTTAAATTAATTAACAGTCTTGAAAACAGTGCGATTGCGTACACGAGTGTACGTATACAAACTGCCTGGATAAAAAACTAAAGGCTTAACAAAATTGAATGTTCAAAGTGACGTATTTTGATTTTATACATGTTTACTATTATCTAAAAAATGACAATTTTTTAAATAAACTCGTAGAATTAAATATTCCTTGATATTGGATCTAACCTCATTCAAATATTGAGAGAGCTCAAATGCTCAATTTTCAAAAAGGCTTACTATTAATTATGTTCATTTGAAATTATTTTTATAAATTGTCTTTAGTAATTAAAAATGTCTGTAGTGTTAATAAACTATGAAACTATGAAGTAATAATATAAATAATAATATAAAATAATAATATAAACTATGGAATAAAGAAAACTAGATCGGCCGATCGATGAGTGGTTTTGACAAAGTTCTTCTGGTTGGCTCCAAATTTGTAACACGAGTGATTTGTTACATTAGTGTATAATTCAATAGTCTTTAATATTATTAAGCCAAACTGCAAAAATAAACTATGGACCTCAAAACAAGAAAAAAATGTTCTCTGAAGGTATGTCCGCAAACGCTTTGTTTAGGAGATATTCACACCCAATAGGATTTTTTTTTCTTGTTTTGAGGTCCTCAATTCATATTTTGAGTTTGGCCACTTAACCCTGAAACACCACTTATATATATACCACATATATACAGTTTTGCCAAATACAACTGGTCTATGGATTGAGAAATTAATAAATTTTAAAATTTAATTTTTATTAAAATCAATGAGTAAAATGAAACGACAACAGCATATTCAATTTATACATGGTTTCTTATGTAATGGTTAAACCAGCCTCTTCTAAAGCTTTGTAAACCTTAAATATGGAACTGACGTAAGCTGCTAAGCGTAGGTTCTGTGGTTGGAGACCAAATTCCTTTGTAGTCTTTATCAATTCCTATGCAAACAATAAAAATAATTGATGATAATTTAACCAATTTATAATCGTTATGTATTTGATTATAATATAGTCTTACCGTTGCAGTCATGTACATGGTATAAGCCAGACCAGCTTGGACTATGTCTTTTTCGGTAGCTTCGTATAACCTCTTTTTAAATTCTGGTGAAGGGTCGATCTTTATATCTTTTCCTAATTGGTCTTTAAGGGACTTTGCCACCGAATCTGGAATATAACCATGTTTTTATTATATATTATAGTCTCTAACCTCCCTTGTAATTAAAAAATTCTAAATATACCTAACATTATTACCAATAGACATATTTCTGTAAGGTAAGACGGAGAAACAATCATGATTTTACTTTATTTTCAGTTACTTTATTAAAATTATAGTTTTGAATAAGTAATAGATTTTCCCAAAATCAAGACCGCTTAATTGTTGCAAGACCAAAACAGAGATTGGCCAAAACAAGAAAAAAAAAAAAAAAAAAAGAAACGAAAAATTCGTTTTTGTAAATACCAGTACCTGACTATTTTAGTTACTATGAGTAAAGAATTGGTAGTTATGGTTTAGTTAGGATTCCCCATTCTGAAAAAGGACAATATTATCTCTCAAGTATGTAGTGGTAACATTTTTTAAAAGGTTATTAAATTGCCAATAAAACTATAAAATAATCGTCTAAATAGTTTTAGTGATGATGAAATTTTCAAAAATTTGTTTTCGTTTTCAAGCTCTAATTAAAATATTTTATAATTCCAGAGGATTGGCCCATGCAATTATTATATTTTTATGTCAGTATATATATTTTACCCAAAAGTAGCCTTGTATTTTCTTCATCGTATCCAAAGGACAGCCTGCCGTAGGAAACGTGGTTGATGTTCTTCAACCATTCGAAGTAAGACACCGTCACACCTCCGGCGTTACCCAGGATGTCTGGGAGGATGGCTGTGCCTTTCTTGAACAGGATCTTGTCCGCGGCTGGAGTCGTAGGCCCGTTGGCTCCTTCAAAGATGAACTAAAAATGAACAACTTTTTGTATCTGGCTCAGACTTGATGAAAAAGCGATGGATATATTAATCGAAGGCTCAAATGGTATAATGTATAACGGTGACAAGAAACTTTTTTGATAAAATTGAATATACATTTTATTTTATTTTATGTTAATCTAAATTCCCTTGAGTTATTTCCGGGATGCGGATGCTAATCCAGAAGTCTGAGAATACGAAGCATGTAAATAATGTACTATGTTACTTTTCACTTTCATCCATTTAACCCTACACTGAGATATTGCAATATTATTATTATTTTTATTTTATACTATCATGTATCAAATACCTTGCAGTTGATCTTTTCAGCATTGGTCTTCCGGATGGTCTTCTCAGTGGCACAGGGCATGAGGAAGTCGCAGGGTATGTACAGGATGTCGTTGCTGCTCTTCATTTCCTTCGTGCCCTTCCCGTAGCCCATCACCTTCCGGTTCTTATTCCAGTACTCCGTGAAATCGTGCACGTTGATTCCATCTGGGTTGTAGATAGTTCCATCTCGTTCCGCGATGGCGAGGCACTTGCCTCCTTCCGCCTCGAAATAACGCGCTGCGTTCGAGCCCACGTTTCCGAAACCCTATCGACAACTAATATAATTATCAATATCTTATAAAATATTATTAAGCTATATTACATATGGTACGATTGTGTAGAGGTTTTCCGACTCTCAAGAGCGATGGATTTTGATGAAACGGAGTGGGATTTTATGGAGAAGTGATGAATCGCAATTTCCAAACGTATAAATCCTCACTGCAATAAAAATTGTTGGAAACACTGGGAGGTTTCAAAATCCAAATGGTTTCAAAAGTCGACGTCAAGATTAAGGACCTCTGCAACTATGCCAGACTCTGTGTTTTGAAGACCAAAAATATTGCGTTTGGTGGTATGGAAGCCATGAGATACTTATCTATATTTAGACTTTAAAAATTAAAATATTTCTATTTATGATAGTAGTCTTTTACGAACTAAAAATATATGTGGAAGAAAATATAGCTCAATGCTCCCTTGTGCATTTCGGATAATATAGAAATAAGCTACTTTGATATTTTAAATAAAATAGTATACTCTAAGTTTACTTTGACAAAATAATAGAGGAAGGCCCAGACCGAGATGGAGAGACCTTGTTGAGGAAGCCGAGGCCATACAACGTCTTTTTTTCAAGGTCTTTTATTGATGTTTTGAAATTGAGATTTGTCATTTCTCTATGAAATTCCCTTCCGTTTGAAGCCTCATTCATCAAAATTGATCACTGCCCAGAGCAGGAAGAGGGATCTACAGAGTATTATATATAGTGTAGATAAAAAAAAATAAATAAATAAAAAATAAAATGCCCATTTTGGCTTTTACACAACTCTTAAGCCACTGGCAGACAATGTTAGAGACGCAGTCTTTACCTCGCCTAGCGTCCACACTACCATGTGAATTTCTCAGTCTCATCATCACTGTTCAACACAGAGGACATTGTTTTGTGAGCAATATGTTCCTGCTTAGAGCTAATTACAGGTGGAAGAACGCGAAAACGTAGATGTTGCTGGACGCGCGATTTCTCGCAGAAGTTCAGTAATGCATATTTAAATAAATTAATTTATCTGGAAGACGCCATGAGCTTTCGGAATTTCACCTAGCTATCATCAACTGTTTTTGAAAATTTGCTTCTGTTGGCTGGAGACACAAACAGCCGAACTAACCAATCGGTAATTAGAAATAAAATAGAACTTGTCTCGCCTCTAGATACCGAGGGACATCCACACTATCAAAATATGTCTAACACGTTGCATAATGTCTCCCATTCCGATCGGAAGACCTGCGATTTTGTCTCACAACAGACCCGTAGACTGGAATTTGTCTATAGATATTTCTAGTAAGAGAACCTGAGACGTGTCTCGGAGACAAAACGCGCAACATGTCTACTAGTGTGGACTAGGCTTTAGGAATACAGTACCCTTAGTGAATGAGAGAACTACGAATCTCTTCAATCAAGAATGATGATTGAAATGAGGGATCACCTGGACGCAGAAGGTCTTGCCCTTGTAGCCGGGCTCACAGCCAATGCTGTTCATGTAGTCCTTATTGTTGATGAACAGCTGGGAGGCGTTCCACAGCCCTCTCCCGGTAGCTGTCACTCTTCCTCTGATCCCGCCGTAGAATATCGGCTTTCCGGTGATACAGCCCATCGCGTTGATGTTTGTATGACCTGAAAATATAATTAAAAATTTGTAAACACATTCTAGTTTGAAATAATTAAAAAAAAAAAAAATCGTAATACTGATAAACGGGGAGTGAGGTAGCTCAGTGGTAATGCACTGAGCTTCCAATGCAAAGTCCCAGGTTCGAACCCCGGCTCATGGCAGAAAATTTATTTATCTGTTTCATTGGCCGTGGGGCGACCCTGGGTTGGAAGTCCCTCCTGGGGCAGACCCAGCCTCTATAAAAGTGGGTACTCTTAATTAAATAATTGATTAAGGGGGAAAACCTGGCGGTTGAGCGTGATCTCGGTCAAATCACCTCCCTGCACAACCTTTGACCTAGAAACAGTACTTTCCCTAAATAGTACTTGAACCCCAGACCCTTCATGGGTTGTAGTGGTACAGGTTTAATACTGATAAACGCAGATTTCATGAGGGGGGATTAATCTGCATGAATGAATAAAATATGTAAACTAAAATCAATTAAGGAAATAGGTAAAAGTCGAAGAGATGGCCAAGTTAATAGTCCATAGTACTGACCTGTTTTTTAATCAAATTTGGAAAACCCGACTGAAACTTCGTAAATAGCTTCATCCTTATCAATATGGCAATTTTATTGTTATACGCATTTTCTCCACTTATAGGGTGTTTCATGGTTAAGTAGCCACACTGAAAATATGAATTGAGGGCCTCAAAACACCCTGTATATCAATGTGGGAGGATGAGAATTTCAATTTAATTTTAGTTACGTATTGTAAAAAATTTGTCCGAAAAATTTGAGGTTCGTTCGGGCTTAAAACAGGGAGACTCTCTTTCGCCTGTCCTGTTCAATTTGGCATTAGAATATGCCATTAGGGAGGTAATGCGAACCGAGAAAAGGTTGGATCTGGGCGGGACAACATCCGTGCTGGGCTATGCTGATGATCTGGTACTGTTAAGCGAAGACGTTGAAACTATAAAACTAAATACGACAACGTTAATGAAAGCCGGTAAAGAACTAGGACTCGAAATAAACGTGGATAAAACAAAATATATGGTTAGCTGCAAAAATGGCGATACTACTGGTGATATCGATATAGATGGTAATATGTTGGAACAGGTAGATAAATTTAGGTATCTAGGTTCTACGATAACTAGAAAAAACGAAATTGAAGAAGAGATTAAGGTTAGACTGAAGGCGGGGAATGCTTGTTATTTTTCTGTGACAAAACTACTTAGTTCGTGCCTCTTGTCCCGAAACTTAAAAATTAGAATCTATAAAACAATTATCTTGCCTACAGTTCTTTATGGATGCGAAACTTGGCCGCTTACATTAAGGGATGAGCAGCGTCTTAAGGTTTTTGAAAATAAAGTATTGCGTAGAATATTCGGACCGAAGAAGGATGAGTTAACCGGAGAGTTCAGACGGTTACACAACGCCGAATTGCGTGAGCTGTATCCGGGTAATATAATTGAGGTAATTTCATCGCGGCGAATCAAATGGGCTTGTAAAGTTGCTGGGCTTAGTAACGAGAGAATTCCTAAAAGGTTAATATTTGCTGTGCCGAATGGTAAGCGTCCGAGGGGTAGACCGAAGCGAAGATGGGAAGATTGCATTAAAGCCAATCTGAAGGGACTGACTGGGTTTGGACGGCGAACGGTGGAGGGAGGTGTGTAACAAAAGATTGGTGGTGTCGGCATCGAACCTTCGGGTTCGCTAAGCCTTTTATTATTTATTTATTATTACGTATTGTAAAAACTTGTTTCAATGTAATAAATGAACTATATTAACTTATGTTTCAGCAGAAGATATTTTCCTTATTACTTGTTTCACGGGCGGATCTACGGGGGGAGGGGGCTTTCGGGCTGAAGTTCCTCCCCAAAATGGTAAAATATAACCATGTTTTATCGAAAAAAATATTTTAAAATTATCTCTTAAAGTATAATCGTTCATATAATTACATTTAAAAGGGCTTTAGGAATCACTTAAACACCAGTTCAGATAGGTAGTTAGTTTCTTTCTTATTTTCCAAAGTAATTATCGTTATTTTTATGAAAAAAAAAGCTTTCGGGCTGAAGCCCCCCCCAAAATTAAATCCTGGATCCGCTAGTGACTTGTTTTATTATTTAACATTTTTACATATTAGAAATGCGAGAATATAACACAACCTAACCAAAACAATTTGTGTAATTCACTAAGGCAGCTCTTTCGGATACAAACAAGGTTGTCAGTACTCGGTTCCTTTCGGTATTTATCGAGAATCTAGGAATATCATGCTCTGGATGATGTTAACATATCTTCGTAGAGAAAGAGAACTATTAGCAAAGCAATTGTTATGATATGAATATATTAGATTTATTTATTTATTTATGCCTCCCTTCCTTGCCTTTCGGCTACACGGGATTTTGCAGGGATGGCATATCACACACGTGCATGCCATTCCTGCTATTAAACAACAAATTAATTTTCAATTTTGTTTTGTTTTTCAAATATCTTCTTTCTTTCCATTATTTTCAATATATTAGTCTGGTGGCCTTCTATTAGCAGGTTCTCTTCCTAGATTAAAGTGAGAGGGTCCCAGAGCAGCTTTCCACCCGTACACAAAATCTTTGTAATACGGGTAGTTCTGCTCCTTCACTAACTCGGGAAATTCATCCTCCGTGAGGCCATAGATTCCCATTTTTCTGATCATTTCGGCCCTTAGTCCATCAAAGGCGGTGCAGTTGACGATAATATGCTCAGCCGTCTCCGGTACTCCACAAGTGGAGCATAGGGGATCTATGTCTTTTCCAAAACCATGTAACTTAAAGCGGAAACCCCCATGCCCAGTAAGGAATTGAGAGACCCAGTAGTCCGGGAGAACCCACTTAGCTTTCAAGCGACTTCGGACGGTGGGGAAATATTTTCTTAAGGTTGCTCCTTTCAAGGTTGTTACCCACCGCCGATTCCACTCATCTATGGTGTCCTCCCGGATAATCCTCTTCCATTTTCTTGGGTCTTCTGCAATCCTCACCCGGATATTCTCCGGAAGACCTGCTGAGCCTTCTCTTTTTAACTTAAATATTAGCGAGTCTTCTCGCAGGAGAAGGTCGAGAGGTACCCCTCCTGCTAAGATCTGCACCGCTTCGTGAGACACACTTCGGTATGATTTTGTGACTCGCAACAGAGCCGTACGTTGAATTGTCGCCAATCTGCGTTTCTGACGGTGTGAGAGATTCTGAGACCACGCAGGAGAGGCGTACCTCAGAATACCCACTATCATTCCATCGTAAATGATCCTCGTAGCTGGGTATCTGAGGCCCCAAAATGCATCCCCTAGGCGACTAAGTCCATTCAAGGCTAGGGCCACCCTACTTCCTAAGTAGTCCAAATGAGGGGTCATATTAAATCCTCTTCCAAACCTTATGCCAAGGTAGGTGACCACCTCACTTGGACGTATTCTCGTTCCCTGTATACACAGATTTATAGGGTGTGCCCTATCCGTCTTTCCCTTCAGCAGGATCACCTGGGAATATATTATATTGTTTTAGAAAACTAGCAAAGATATATATATAAAAGCTTACCGAAAGTCTTCATGTAAGTGTCCACAAACCAAGACATCTCCCTTCCGCCAGTGTTCACATCCGGCGCTGGTACGTCAATACCGGGTCCTGAAATTTAAAACTGACGAGAGCTCTCTGTTTACTGTAAACATCTTTTTGCTAAAAGCTATGAATGTTACTCAGTATCTTGACACATATAAGGGAAAGTTTGGTGATACTAGGCCAAAAAATATTAGACCTGTCTCAAAAGATTCTTGGCAATGCCCCTATGAGCCCAAAATAAACAAATTTATATAATTTTAAATATTTTTAACCATTTATACTTCTGGCCTTTGCTCTGCATGAATTTCTAGTTTGTATATAATGTACAAATTGAGTTTGTGTAAAAAGTGTTGGTGACTATATTAAATGAATTCAAATGTATGAGAAATTTAAATAACAAAAAACAGAAAGCAGGAGTAAATTAAGGCAAACGTATTTTAGAAAAAAAAGCAATGCAGGTACTTTAATAAGGAAGGAGATAGTCCGTGGTGGTGCTCATAAATAGACTAAATAGTGGCAAAACTGTAAAGTATAAAAGCCGACGTTTCGATCCGACTTTGCAGGTCTTCTTCAGGGATGTGTGTTCAGCTAGGAGTTTCACTTAATACTTAGTACTTGAGCTTTTAATGAAATAGTTTTACCACTATTTAGTCTATTTATGACCGCCACCCCAGCCAGCCTTAATAATGCAACGGTCAAATATTAAATATTCAATATGAAACTGAAATAGTTTTATATTTAAACAAAAAAAAAATTTTAATTTGATTTAAGGATTTATTTCCTGCCGCTTATTAAAAGATTCATAACTTCACAGAATTGTCAACTAATTCGATATTATTACAACCGAGCTGATTTCATTCATAATTTTTCCGAATTGGCTTCTAATTCAACATTATATATGACAGCCTAATGCCAAATGTAAATTTTTTTTGCAAGAATCTTATGACACTGGTATAATGGTTTTTCAACCAAAAAAAAAAAACTCTGTAATCTTTTCTTGCTGTAAATGACTAGATTTTTCATGGGACACGAAACTATTTGAAAGACTGAGAAAATAAATTAGAAAACTATGTTCCATGGTGAGAAATCTCATTTAACTGATGTATCTGCTTACAAACTTGCGTTACATAAATTTATACACTTGGAAACAAATTAATACATAATGGCAAGTACCAACTAAATTTTTTTTAATCAGTTCCAGGGCGTATCTTCTCGTTATCTTTTCCAATTCGTTCTCTGAATACTTGCTCGGGTCAATCCTAACACCTCCTTTCGCTCCACCGTAAGGGACCGACACGCATGCGCATTTGTAAGTCATCAGGGCTGACAGAGCTTTGACTTCGTCTATGTTGACTTCTTCAGAATATCTTATACCTGGAATTGAGTTAACATTATTAAATAAAATAATTATTAAATTTAAAAAAAAATAATATTACAGTAGTTCAAAGTTTGAATTATACGAGGTGTGGCTATTAAATAAAGATATTGATGCTGTAAAACACATGTCATATGTAATTACTTATTATCACCTTTATCTCAACAATGGTCCATGCGAATCTTCCATTGTCTGAAACAGTGCTCCATATCTTCTATCAGTTCCTTCAGGACGCTGCTGCATTCCATTTTACCAAGAACGTTAAACTAGTAATAATTTGATCTTCAACAGCCCAGTGAAGCTGCACAAACCCATGAATATCGAAAAAAAATCATTGCTTTGAAATTTGAATTGCTTATTTGAACTTTTTTTGCTCAAAGTTGCTGAAGTTCTAGGATTGGCGTTTCGTTTCAGAACCATATGTTAAAAAAATATCAATCGGAACAAGATTTGAATCGGTTGAAGCTGTGGAAGAGAAAGCGAAACGCGTGTCCTGAAGGAGCAGTAACAAAGACGTTTAGTTCAGGCTATCCAAGAATTGCATGGTGCTGATCAGGGATAGAAGATGAGTGTATACTGAAGATGGTAATAAGCATATATGTATGAAATCAAACCAAGTTTGAGGTTTTGCTTTCTTTTAAAAAAATTACTGTTCGACTGATGGTCGAAATTCGACCGCTGTCATTGAAAATTTTAGTAAAACATAAATTTGCATGTTTCCAACATTTTTTTTTTCTCTTCGTATACATTCGTTTAATGTATGTCTGAGAATATATTACATTTATACGCATATAAATTTTCAAACAAATTTCATTTCGAAACCATTGTTCGGATGGTAATGAAATGTATATAAAAATACTCTTGAATTCGATTGAAACACGTTGAATTAAAATTTCAAAGCAGTTGGTGAAGAAATATTGGAGATAAGTGGTTTTGAACAAACAAATAAACAAAATCAGTTGAAAAACAGTGAAGAAAAAGGTACTGAACCTGTTTGTCTTAACCTAGAGAGAAAAAAAACAAAGTTCATAAAAGGGTGTTGATACATACATAGCTTGCTTGTAAGTCAATTGGACAATCTTTAAAACTTATATGAACCTTTCAGTTGACAGAATGACTCATTCTAATTTCAAAATTTTTTAGTGTAGTTATTTTAGTGATATTTCTAGTTGGAAAATTTATGATATCTGTACAGGCAGTAAGTTTATTCCAGTGTAGGTGGTTGGAAAGTGGAAATATATAACTGTGAATGAAGGTATAAATTTTCCTACTACAAAAATCACTAAAATTAATAATAAAAATGTTGAAATTGGAGTTAGCCATTTTTTCAACAGAAGTTCGAGGTATCGAATATCGATGTACGTCGTAGGTAATGTTTGCTTACGTTTGCAAAGTTCATGTCAATCCGTGGTACAGAGCCCTTTTTATCAAATTATTAACATCCGCCTGAAAAATCGAAAATAGGTTTATCTCATCGTAACCTAAAACTATTTTATTTACATAAATTCTCGGAATAGGGTTTTTTCAATCTGGAGATCGGCAAACTTTGTTTATTTAATTGGGTACTAAAAACTCGTAAATATCCATTTGCTTTCCACTTCAATCGTAAGTTTATCTCAGCACATCGAGAAAAAGGGTGATCTACATTCCCAAAATGTCAAAATAACGAGTATATAGGCCAAACGGCCCAATATTTTTGTAGGCCATCTTTTTTCTCGACTTTGTGATGAAATTATCTTACGATTCAAGCGGAAAGCAAATGGGTATTTACTAGTTATTAGTACCTAATTAAATAGAAAAACTTTGCTGATCTCCAGATAAAAAATGCCCCAGATCCAAGAGTTTTTGTAAATAAAATATTTCTAGGTTACGATGAGATGAAACTATTCCTGAAGTGTCAGGCGTATGTTAATAATTTAATAAAAGGGGTCTGTACTACGGATCAGTATTCTATCTTATCTAATATTCCATCGGACATACCATCATAGCAAATCTCTTCATGTTTTGAGATCCTTAATCCGTTCAGTTAGAACAAAACCCTGGAAAACCTTCTATAATGATAATGATAAATACCTCCCTTGAGAGGGACAGCAGGAGTGTCGGCACCGAACCTTCGAGTTCGCTAAGCCTTTTATTATTATTATTATGTTACCTCCTTTGAGAGGGATCTTGTGGTTGCAGTGGTGGACCCTGAAGGCGTCGATGATCTCGTAGGTGCCGTCGTCCCGCTTGATCGGGAAGTGGACGCCGCAGACGCAGGTGGGGTTCTTGATCAGCGCCATGATACCTTCCACTCGGTGCTTTTGTGTCTTTTCCGGCACTCCGCTTCTTTGGGCTCTTTCTTTCATCGACGCGAGGAACCTCGGCTTCAAGATATTCAAAGCCCTTGATCAAACCGAATAAAGTTATTAAAAAAAAAATCCTGTACCTCTACATCCCACGAAGGGTCTTGGGAAATGGTGGGTGTTTAGTAGCAACTGTTTAATTTAAACAGTTTATTTTATTAACCAGTTCCAGTGAACTGTTTCACTCGAGATTAAACAGATACAAGGATCACCTTCCATTAAGAGGGGGAAAGCTGTTCTTAAAATCAGCTCTGAACTCATCGATGGCATCGAATAGATTTCCAAACTGAGCCGAAGTCGATGAACTCAGGTGAGTTTAGGAACTTACCCAAGCCATCACACTTTTAGGTTTGGTAGGTAGAGACAGCGATACCGACGGGAAAAGAGGGAAACAACGAATCTGTTTATATTAAACGACTTTCTGAAACAGATACAGAAGTTGCTTAATTTAATAAGATACAGAAATCTGATTCATTAAACAGCTTCTTCTAACATATATGTATACAGTTTTCTGAAACAGATACAGAAACAACTCTCTGAAACAGATGCAGCGCTGCAACAGACTATACGCGCTGTACTTTAGACTATTTTGGAAGCTGTTTCAACGAAGCACAGACCGTCGCACACTGGAACGAGTAAGAGAAAACTCGTGGCATCGCCTAAATCTATTTTTTATTATTTTTTTTCAATTGAACTATACAATAAAAACAGTGAAAAATGTATATTGTGCCAACTGAAAATATTCTCGGAAACTCCACGAACAACACAGGGCATCAAGAAAACAGTTTATCTAGTTTTTGAAGTTCTAAAAATTAAAAATAGATTTAGATTTAAATTTTTTTAATTTCAAATTTAGTAAAAATTAAAGAGATTTAATTTTATAAAAAATTTAGATTTAGAAAAAAAAAATAGATGTCGCGAGTTTTCTCTTAATCGTCCCACTCTGCGTCGCACTGATGTAACTTTAAAAACGTTTATGCTATTTAATGTACAGTTTTATCAACTCATTTCTTATCTAATTACTGTTTTCACGTTATTTTCATCAAAAAATTTACATATTATTTTCAAAATACGATATTAATTTAACGATTAAATCGATAACTACTTTGGAGATAAAAATTATATTGATATCTTCTTAAAATTAATGTTAAGGTAACAGAAGACAATTATTTTTTTGTTGGTTCTTTTCTACTTTAAGCACACCAGTAACGCTATATTTTCCCTATCTAACACTGTTCCGTTTAGACACAATATTGAATAATAGATCATTTCAAAGAGGACAAAATGGTGAACATTTCCCTTGCTTACAGTATGCAGGTCGGATTTCAAGTTTCTGAGATATTTTAATCCTTATGTTCAACCAAACTCCTTCCATTTTTCCTATTTTGCCTCTCTAACACAGCTTCACGTTAAGATACAATTTTGAATAATAGGTCATTACAAAAAAGATAAAATTTTGAACATTTTCCTTACTCACAATATGCAGATCCGATTTTTAGTTTCTGAAATATTTTAATCCAAGTACAAAATTCTACTGATGTGTTTAAAGTACAAAAGAGTCTTTTTTTTTCTTAGCCTCCAAGTTTTGAAACAGTAATATATGTTGTTTTTTTAAACTGTTATTTGAAAGTAGCAGGAACTGCTGCAACTACCTGCTACTTTTACCCATCACTAGTCTTGGGTCCAGTATTTTTATTGTTGTTCTGTTATTATTGTTTACATGAAAAACTGAATTAAATTATATTATAATACTTATGAATCAAAGTACTAAATGTTATTACTTATTTTATTGGTTACAGACCCAATAAATAACATTTTAACCTTCTGTTATGTTTGTGAGTGTCCAGAAAGTATTGTTACTGACTGTACCTGCAATAAAACACTAAAACTTTTCTTAATCAATATTTTACATTAATATCAACTAGTGTAGGCCCGTGCTAAAAATTCGCACAGCATATTGTAATCAAATGCCAAATTAATAATAAAATAAAATAATGCAAGCTATCAAAAGATAAATAAATCGATTGTTACTTTATCGATAAATATAATCGACAAAGGAAACTTAAAATTAAAATTAATTTAAATATTCATTAATGTTTGGAACCAACATGTTTACAAATTTCAATAAACTGTATCTTTTTTTAAAAATTATCCTATTTCGATGATGTTTTTCCCTTTTGTAATGATTTAGTAATCATTTATATAATCATGGGCATAACCAAGGGAAAAAATAGTACTTTTTTTAGTTATTTGCTTATGTTTGTTTTCTTTCATAACTTGTTTGCCTGAATTTTAGGTGTGATTGGACTATTTTGCCCGCCTGAAGGCGAAGGAAGCCTTCGTAATTGGTGGCTCAATCTTGAGATTTGGTGAAAAATTGACGATGATATAGCTTGCCGATCAAAAAACACCATCGATAAATAATATAAACTCCTCCTCTCTCGATCATAGAGGCCTCAAGTAGACGAAATGAGACATGTATTCAATGACAGTACTACAATTAATGTAAGGTTGTGTGGATGCGAACCCCATGGCTTGCGTTATCTCGAAAATAGTACGCTTTTGGGCTTAAAAAGGCAGGATCCGATAGTTCCGGATGATTTATCAGGGTTTTGCTGTACGTATCAAAATCTTCAAGATCCAATTTGTCCCGTATCGATCTACAGACCTGCCACCGTTCCAGTATTGAAGCCTAGCAAAATGTTTGTATCGACTTTATTTATTTTAGAAAGAAAAACAGAAGCGAGGAGTACAATTAACTAACCCCAAGTGAAATTCTGAATCCAACGGTACGCCATTCATGGTATTTGAGGATGACAGGAGCTTATATCTGGTACAAAACCGATTTCAATCCTTACTGTAATAATATAATATATAATACAGGGATATTAATTTTTTAAAATTTTTAACTAGTTGAGATAAACATACTTGTAGGCGTTGTACTCCACCATCCTGTAGAAGTTGGGGTTTTCCTCTTCGCCCACTTTGACCAGGTCCGGGGGCAGCCCTTTCTCTCCCTTCGTCGCCGGGTCTTCGTCGGAACCTCCCGAATCGCCGCCGCTGCCACTGCACACGTGGCCCATCGACCTGCTCGCGAGGCGGCACGGGTTCGAGACCGGCCTCAGCATTCTCCAAACTGCCGACGGTGTCAGTACCATTGTTCCTATCTACTGCTCACTAATAGCTCCTTACCTTTCACTCTTCTCATAAAGATACAAAATTCTAGTCTAAAAAGGCTATCCCAGTCATCGAAACTGAATTTATAAGGAAGAGATTATAATTTATGTTAAAAACATTATTCCTGGGATTATCTGGATTTAAAATTTGGAAACCTCATCAACATATGATCTTGCACACATGCGTAAATTAAAAGGAAATTATCATAAGCCATCTGTATGGTATCTCAAATAATCGATATCTTGCAGACAAATATAGTAATATATGTTTTCGTAAAAAAAAAAGAGAAATAGCAACAAGTTTTTTTTCTCAAGCTTTGAATCTAGTTAAAAAAGAAAAAAATATTTTAACAGCTTTATTTACATTAACTTATATTATCATGAAATCAGTTGAAGGCAAATAAAGGTTTTTCAAAAACAATATTTTTTGTTCTCAATTTTTTTTTCTTAATCTTCTTAAGAATGAGGATTAACAAAATATGTTTTACTCGAAAATGTTAATCACTGCTATGAAGTCTTGATGGTATTTGACGACTTAGCATGGTATTTGAACATCCTCAGTGCTAGTAAACTTGGTTTGAAACATCGGCAACCATAAAAATCTTAAAATTACCGCGTCCTGACTATTTATATAGCATTACGCACTTGGTGTGACTGTATTTGGTTTATAAGAACCTAACTCCATCATAAATGTACTTTATCACTTTTTCCAATCAACGTACGCCATATTTTTGCCCTCTGATTTATTGGGTATTCATCGACATGCCTTCCTCTGTCCTCGAGGATGCCGATTTCCTCCACGTCAAAATCAAACTGATGGCTTCCATTTCAATCAAGATCAAACAATATTTATTTATACTTCGGTATTACAACTCCAATGTAATATATAACTGAAGAAGAGCAAGAGAGCGAGCCAGCTGTATGATATATCCCCCTTCTCTACCAGAACTAGTACCAGCAGCCATCTTGTGTAAATCTTCTTTTTTCATTTTCTGCATACATTCTTCCTCCCCTTGTTCCAGCTCCTGCAAACAATTGAAGAGTTATACATGCGAATATCCATTAATGTTAAAAATTACTTCAGAGAATATTTAATAATGATCCCACAACAGCCAGGAATGTTATATGCTAGCAGATACTAGTGGATTCGTTAAGGAACTATACCTGAAAACCATTTAACACGGGCGTAAATAACCACGAAGTGAGGAGGTGTCCCCCCAATCCAAGGGAGAGGAAATTTAATCCTTGTTTCTAATAGGTAACAAATACAGTACAAATACAGTGAGTAAGGGGCCTTATATAAATTTTGACTACTGTCTCAAACCCACGCCACTATACTCGAGAATGTTAAGACGTTCGACGCTCTATCAAGCTTGGCCATCACGGCTTCCAAGAGCTTCCGGAAATATTTACGCCTCTGCATTTTGAATTTTAAATAATCGGCATCTGAGCATACAACTCCGAACAGTAGGTCTATAGCAAATTAATAGCAACGGGATATATATTACGAAAATTATTGGAAACTTTTTATGTTATGATCCAAACATGTCGGAAGGTCGTCGGTTGGTCGTTGTATAGTAAAGGCATATAACCTGTTGGTTATCGACGCCTTTAATTAAGATTATGTATTTTCTGGTTGTGAATAATAGGAATAAAATTAAATTAAAAATAAGTAATAAGACGTAAAATGCAAGTTAAATTTAAAGTTATTAAAGTTTGGTTGTGTTTTTTTAGCTTTAAGCTTTGTAAAAGCATGTCCTATTTTGCTAATAAAATATTTTAACTGTCATTGTAAGATGAAATTACACTGGATATTTTGAATATTTCTAGATAGATGATCACTGAATGCAACTAAATATTGAATGTGACTTATATAGAACTTAAACTAGAAGCACTAATAGTTAAACACTGAGGTGGCAGTAGTTTCATAACAATTAAATGAGAATAAGAGGCGACTTTTATTATATGACTGATGCTATGTCATTCAAAAACTTTATCAAGTCACGAGTGTTATCTTTGTTCATCGACCGAAGAAACTTAGCTCCACCATCCCTAGTTAAACTAATTCTTCTTCGCTTCTCGAACCTTTTGCACTTGAAGGCAATGTGTCTTGGATCCTCCAAGCATTGGCATGTTGGACAGTGACCGCTCTTAGCTAGACCCATTAGATGTAGATATTTATTAGTTCTACCGTGGTTTATCCTAAGCCTGGTCAGCTTTACTAAGCTGGAGCGGTCGAGATGAGATTTAAGAGTCGCGAACCATGGAACCAGAGCTATCTTCTGTTGAACTGTATGACGGTCCTTACCCTTCGAGGAACATCGCCAATCATAGAAATGCTGCCACTCTTTCATTATTCCCCCTCAATACTCTTATCAAATCCAAGTTCAGTTATTTAAAGTCAGCATGTTAAGTAGTAAAAAAAAAAAAAAAAATGGAGGGGAATGCTGCGTGAAAGGTTCAAAGATTTTTAAAGATTCCTTCTTCAGAGAGAAAACATATGATTTTATTCAGGATTTTTTCATCACTTCCTAAAGTAGTTGACATATTGGCCGGTATGACACAAGCCTCTTTTTTTTTATTTCTGTGATGTAAAACAAACAACTCTCCAAGATATGGACCACTGTCATTCTCTTTCCATAGTTCCGACAAATGGTTTTCTTTTGTAATTAAGTGAAGGTGAGTAAGCCTGGTATGACCTATTCTTAAGGATAACTTCCTCTCTGCGTTTACGGCGACTGGAACTTCTCCATGGCTTCACTTCCATCCTTATTTCTTTATCATTTTAATGTATTTGGAGGGCTGTTATCCCATCGTGTCTGGCACTCTTGGTGTATGGCCTCTTTCAGAGATCGCGCCAGTTCGGTGGCATTTAAGAATGCATTATCACGTCCTTTTGCTGCTCTATCAGCCATTTCATTCTCACCAATGCCTATATGACTGAGTATTGGCAAACATGTAATACAACGAGCATGCATAAGAACATTGGCTAACATTTAAAAAAACAAATTTCTCAATTCCCGTTTCGATCCTCAAGTTGCTGGCCTGATATTCTTTAAATCAGCAGCCATTTTTGAAAGCAGCGGCTTTGGAATGGCAGACAAGGTTCCTTTTATTTAGAATGACATAAACTATCGCTTTATTGGAACAGTACCACGTGCCGGACACAATTCCGTATATCTTCTTTTTTTTTTTTTTTGGAAATATAAATGTTTAAATTTTCTATTCGGAAATAAAATCAATTGTTTATTCCTGAGTGTTACTTCTAAATAATGAACCACATTAAGTTGTTCTAGCTTGTTAAATAGTTAATAATACGATTCTGAACAAAAATTAATTGAGCATGGAATAAATTTTGTTTAAGAGAAAACGTAAAACGCAAGTGAAAATATTCGATTCCGAGGATATAAAGTTTTGAAACCTCCAACACGAATACCTTTCCCACCATCGGTATTAGTGTAGACAGACAGCAAATATTAATTTCAATTACAAAGAAAGTTCAGGCAATAAATATATTTTTAAGAAAACAATTTTTTTTAATCATTCATTTAATAATAATTTGCTAATTTCAAAGTATTGAGCCTTCTTCGGTAAAAAAAAGAAAGAAGAAAATAAAACATCATACTTACAAAAAATATTTTGGTGTATCTACCTCAATTCATACAAGAATTAGGAATTAAGAGCTTGCTTTGTAAATAGCTTTCAAATTTATTTATTTAATTTATCACAGTTATAATAAAATTGAGATTTTTGTTAATTTTCCTCGTTCTGTTGTCAATATGTCAAACATTTATAATAACACCATATGTTAAAATTATGATTTATTTCTATAATTTCAACAAATAATCCCATATGTGAACGGTACAAAACTTATGTTAGATCTGTCATTATTTACTTATTTCACTTTTGACTTTACCGTACTATATTGAATGGAATATATATTTAGTTACTTTAGTGGAAAGATTTTCAAGGGAAATAATGTACTTATAAATGGTATCTCCAAGGATAGATAAGCCCTTATAATTTTACTATTGAATAATATGAATAATATGAAATAAATTAATGAAATAAATGAATAAATTAATAATATAATAATAATAATTCTATTACAATTTATTATTGTCCACAAACATTAAAAAAAAATTGTACTGGATTGGCAATCCATGTTAAACAATAACAGGAGATAGATCTGGGTTCGGATGGTTTTATATTTGTAGAATAGAAATAAATTATAATAGAATTATATAATGGAAATATGTTGGGTTTTTTGTTAGATTTTGATAACTTGAAAATGAGCTAAGCACCTAGACACCATTTATATATATATATAATATATATATATATATATATATATATATATATATATATATATATATATATATATATATATATATATATATAATTGTGAAAAGTATTGTGATCGTGAACATTTTCGTATCCGACTTTTCAATGCCAATACGTTTTTTTTTTTTGTAAAAATAGTATTAATGAAATCATCGATTTTACACATTTTTGCAATTTGCTTATAAACGGTTCTGAAAATTCCCTGAGTCCGAATAACCAACTCTCGAAAAATAGTATGTGTGTTTGTGAACAGTCCAGTTCAAAAATGAAAAGTTGTAAGAAACTGAAATTGCGTATTTTAGGTATGAATATTCCTATGACTTTTTATAGGGATTTTTTTCATATATATAACGATAATTGCTTTGGAAAAAAAAGATAGAAACTAACTAGCTATATGAAATTGTGTTTAAGTGATTCTTGAAGTCCTATTCACTGTAACTAACTACACGAACAATAATACAATACTTTAAGATATAATTGTTTTATATTTTTTCCATAAAACATGGTTATATTTTACCATTTTTGGGGGAGGGCTCTTTCGGGCTGAACCTCCTCCACTCTGTACATTAGCCTATGGTGAGGCATAAAATAAATTTTAAAACTATTGAGCCATTAAATTCGCGTTTACCAATACTTCAAAAATCATAACTTTTACATAAAACACCAAGACTTTGTTTGTGCCAAATAGTAGAATGAATCATTGAACTACAGCAAAAAGATAATCCACCAATGTAAAAAAAAAAAAAATTTTATTTTAGTTCAATAAAGAAAACTTCAACACCTTAGATACACTCAAATAAATACCGGGATCGGATCAGGAAAGGATTAAGAAATCGTCTTTATTTATAGTGGAGGTAAATAATAATAAAACATTTTTTAAGACTTTATATTTTAATTAACACTCTAATATTTTGTACTTAAGGCCAATGAAGAAAGAAATCTAATCTTGGTAAAAAAAAAATAAATGCAAAGAACATTGTTTGGATCAACTGTGATTTGAACAACTGAAAACACAAATATTTCTAATTTGGATTTTTGAAAATGCACAAAATATGTCCAAAAAAACGGTATTAACTCATGAGAAAAACTTACTATACCGTTTGAATTGTCATACATTCCATATAATTGCCGTGTAAATTAATAATTAGTTATAAATTATTTTATCAAGATTTCTTTTTAAATATAAACAGCAAGAAAGCATATTAAAAATTATACTTACTTTATTAAGTTTTCCCGGATAGTGCTGTATTCATGTATGTATCTATGTATGTATGTATGTATCTTTTCATATTTTAATTTAGGAGAAATCGGTTTTAAAATACTTATAGAATAACTATTTTATGATGAAATAAATTTTATTTTGTTCAGAATATAAACATGGAAAATATAAAATAAAATTATTCAGAAGTGGGGCCATTTCCGAATCCGCCATTAGATCGGACCTATATTTCCAGCACTCGGAAGGCTTCCTAAGATAAATCGATTTTAGTGCCAACTAACTCCTTTATCGATAATATAATGTAACCATACCTTTTTCTTGCTACAAAATAAATTGAAACGAGTCCTCCTTTCGTCCAAACGATCATAAGATAAAAACACCATTTTAAAAAAATTAACCAGTTGTCATTAATAATTATCAACTTAAAAATGTTTTTATATAATTTAGGTTCCATAAGTAATAAGAAAAACTGACGTTCTGAAAAAAATGTCATATGTTAATTTTTTTTTTTTAAAGAAAATTTTGATGAAACTGAATCTTTGTAACATTGATGAGGTTAAATACTAAAAAAATAAAAAAATAAAAAAAATTAATTAGTTTGTGAATAAGAGAATTCAAGAACAAGTTTCTCACACAGCTTATAAAATATATAACCGCGCTCAATATTTGGATAATTCAGAAATTACGATAAATGAAAAAGCACCAGCTTATATAAATCCAAATCAGAGATAGCACATCTCACTTTAGCAGCCTAAAAGGACACTAACAAGAGAGATGGTAATTTAAAATTAGGGAACAGAAACCACGTTAAAAAGTAAAATTATTTCGAAAACTTTTTCAAATGAAATTATCGTTAATCTTTGCGCTGTGAACGGTGACATGACGTCATTAGTCGCACTCAAAATGGGTCTACTTCATTAGTGGACCCAGTTTTAAGTTTTGAAGGCTTTGGATTTTAATTTTTATTATTATATTAACTAGCCTGAAGAAAAAATATTTATAAAACATTTTGTATATAAAATGGAAGTTTAAGGGCCTGTAAAAAGAAAAAAAATAATAAAAAAATGTATAAACTGGGACTCATTGCTTTTAGAGAAAATTTTTCTGTTATTTTATTAATTTTTTTCTAGTCACATACTTACATTTAGTAGCTGAAATACATGCATTATTATTTAAAAAGACAGCATATTACGATTGTTTAAGTATTTAGGTTAAATCACTTACAGTAAAAAATATGGACCAATAAAAAAGATTCAAGAAGAAAATCATAAACACGATAACCGGAGTGATCTGGGATCGGGATATTAACACATGAAGGAGGACCAATATACAACTGCTTAAAGAAATTGGTCCATCAATATCTCATTTCACTGTCAGATCCAGGAGGGGGAGAAGAATAGACATTTTGGGCCTAACAAGCTATCTCCAAAATAAAAAAATAATTTGTTTTTCATTGGCCCATATTCAGTAATGTAAATCAATATATCTGATAACGAATGTACTTTATTTACTAAATGTAAGCTCATATCAATAAAAAAAATTAATTTATGTTTAACAGAATTACAATTTCTGATTATCCCATCAATATAAAAGAAAAAAAATTTTTTTTTAAAATGAGCGTAGAAACGATTCATTGGTGGTTGATTAAGTTGATTTGCACATAATACAATATGGAAGAGAGCATTTGGCCTAGATATATTTTTTCTCATTATTGTCTCCAATAAAAAAAACTTGTACCACTACAACCCATGAAGGGTCTGGGGTTCAGTACTATTTAGGGAAAGCACTGTTTCTAGGTCAACGGTTGTGCAAGGAGGTGATTTGACCGAGATCACGCTCAACCGCCAGGTTTTCCCCCTTAATCAATTATTTAATTAAGGGTACCCACTTTATAGAGGCTGGGTGTGCCCCAGGAGGGTCTCCCGACCCAGGGTTGCCCCACGGCCAATGAAACAGATAAATAAATTTTCCGCCATGAGCCGGGGTTCGAACCTAGGACCTTTATAGCATTGGAAGCTCAGTGCCCTACCACTGAGCTACCCCACTCCCTATTATCTCCAATAACATAACTTTATATAGTATAATCTATATAATTCAAAAAACCATGCAGTACACTTTTGTTGAAGTTTGAAAACATTTTTATAAATTCCGACCTTTTTTATAAAAAAAAAGCAGTAATTGTACCAAAATGACAATAATCTTACTATTTATCGAATATAGTTACAAAAATTGCACAAATTCTGAGTTTGTAAAGAGAAAATCTATCAAATTTCTTAATGATTTAAAGTTCTGAAATGTCACTAAGTAACTATTGGGGATTAATAATAATAATAATAATAATAAGGCTTAGCGAACCCGAAGGTTCGATGCCGACACCACCAATCGCTTGTTACACACCTCCCTCCACCGTTCGCCGTCCAAACCCAGTTCCTTCAGATCAGCTTTAATGCAATTTTCCCACCTTCGCTTCGGTCTACCCCTCGGACGCTTACCATTCGGCACACCAAATATTAACCTTTTAGGAATTCTCTCGTTACTAAGCCCAACAACTTTACAAGCCCATTTGATTCGCCGCGATGAAATTACCTCAATTATATTATATAATAAATTACCGCTCATCCCTTAATGTAAGCGGCCAAGTTTCGCATCCATAAAGAACTGTAGGCAAGATAATTGTTTTATAGATTCTAATTTTTAAGTTCCGGGACAAGAGGCGCGAACTAAGTAGTTTAACTATTGGGGATTAACTGACCATATTATCTAGTTTGCCCCTAAATGTTTTGTAATGCTGAATAATAAAAATATAAAAAACATTAATGTTCCACATATCTTTTGTCTAAGTAGACAGATATTGCGTATAGGTTTTTGATGATAACTGGGTTCATGTCAATGGCAACAGAATGGGCCTTGAAGCATTCTGTAGAAAAAAAGCTGCTATATTTTTTTCTTTATTTAACTCTTCATTTAAAGATTTAAATAAAAAAAAAAAATTAACTACATATAAACAATGTAAGACTTGTTCAACTGTTTAGCTCATGATGAAACTTAACCTATTTTTTTAAACAATAAATGGATAAAATAAAATTCACAAATAATAGCTTCAACTTTATATTAATTAAAATAACATTCACATAGGTTTTTTTGTTTTAATTATGGATTAAATAAATTTTTCCCAAAGCTAAAACATTTTAATATATATAACACAGACATTACTGACTAGCGGGACCTAGTGTCATTGGTCTAATAATTCTCAAGATTTTTTTTTAATTTTTCTTCATTAACAAAATACTTTTTACATGCGATTTTATAATACAATAAGTACACATAGCCTGTCGTAAGCTATTTTTTAAACATTATTTCAATTTTATACAATTATAAGCATTACACATATATATTCATTTTTATATTTAAAATTGTTTTATGAATTAATAATAAAATTAATATTCCATCAACAGCAATACTTATAAACTTTGAAACACTTACACACTATCATGTAATGATAACTGATGGGAGAACAATAGATCAGTTATACAAACTTTTAAGTTAGATCTATTCATTGTTAACACTACTATTACAAAAACATAAAAAAAATATTGAATATAATAATACAAAAACATAGTACCTGTAACTTATAATATTTCACTGTATTGTTAAAAAAAACTTATTTACTCTTTTCTTTATATTAGTAACCTAAGTTACAATTAGTTGCTTGGACAGTTCCTTTAATGCTTAGTTTGATAACAAGGATCGTGAAACAACTTCCATAGTACCAAAGTGATTTAAAGCTATTGAACTGATTTAATATTTTGAACATGGTGATATAGTCAAAATAACTTTTTCCTAATTATGATAAACTTCATTGACAATAATTCCTCAGTTAAAGTTATTTTTATATTCATAAAATCAGTATTTGCAATTTATAATAGTTTTATGAAAACATGATCAAATGCCAAATACACAATACATAGAAACTGAACAAATAAATCAATAAATGGTAAGCTGGTTGTGATGTATAATTATGGATCACTAGAATTAATTCAACAGTTTTACACAAAACAATATATGCTTAGCATCTTGATATTACATTATTTCTTTAACAAGCGGACATGAAACCCTAATATCCATAGATTAACCATATTAAAAATTTTATTGTATTAATATGAATAGTCTATGCTATAACACATTTACAGGAATGTTTCTGACATTTTTATAAGTTTTTTGATGATTACAAACCTCTTCAGTCAGGTATTCCCTCAAAGCTCCGGCAATACCAATCTTTCATATCTTATACTGATGTTTAGTTTGATGATTGGCAATGTAGTTTTTTCTTACAAATAATACATTTATTACTCATTGATACACAAATTTAATCTATTATACAAATAAAAAATAATAAATAGGTATTATTAATTCAAATTCATCAAAACTGATAGTTACCAGACTAAAGAGGTTTTTAAAATTTATAGTTAGTTACATTAATAACTACTGCATCTTAATATATTTGAAATTTTAAAGACATTTTTTTATAAGAAAATTAAAATTATTAGCTAGTTTTTAATTAGTAAAAAAATGATAAACTTTCACAACTATTAAGAACTTTTCGTAAGATTCAATCATTTGTTGTACCTTAAAATGATAATGGTTTTATTGTTATTAATATTGGTACAAAGTTTAATAAATCAGAGAGAAATAAATTTTCAAAGAATGAATCAGTAAAAAAGTTATCTCGCTTTGAATTAACACTGTGACCTAATTTATAAAAATGTTATTTAAATGATAATTGAAGCATTGCACTCTAAATTCATCCATTAACAAACTAAGATTAGTCAAATAATCCATTGTTACATTTTTCCTAAGTATTTTTTTTCTATACAAAAAATAAAAGAACAAAATTATTTGTTGATAAAATATTATTTATGATACATTGTTTAAATATAATTACCAATTTATTAAATATGTAATGTTTGGAAATATATTTTTTTATTATATATTGTCATCGGATTTTATGAATGGTTTTGGAGTTATTAGTTCAATCATCAATTGAATTGTGAGGGACAGTCACAAGACTGACAAGGATTGCTTCAATCATAATAAAACCTACACGTATCAATAAGACTGGCACCGTTTTAGCTCAGTCGATGTTGAAATAACAGGCAGTGTGGATCTGGTTCATTCTCCATTAATAATAATGTGTCTTATTAAAAACTCCTATTGGTTATTATTCTCTATAACATTGGGCATCATGAGGAAAGTAGAGATATAATAATTACTTCTTAGTGCCTGAACATAATTTAGACAACAGGAAAACATAAGTCAACTACTTACAAATATTAAGGAAAAATATTGCGAAAATACTAAATTTGTTGAGAAAAAAAGAAAAAGACCTGATAAATATACACAATTGTGAAAGATTAAATTTTTCTGTAAGTAAATTGTGTAGTTGAAAATTTAAATTAAAAAAATCAATTGATGATCGTTTATATAAATATGAACTAGGGATATGAACAAATATTTTATTTTAAATAAAAATCAGGAATGTACATTGATTGAGTGAGGCTTAAGTAAACTAGCCTACCTAGTAGATAGGTCAGTCTCCTCACCACTTTTACTTCAGTCTCCACTCCCCTTCTCGCGACTGAAGCTTTGAATTCAGGACTTTTGGACAACTATCCATCCTGTCAGTCCATCAATATTAACCTTACATGAACAATCAGAATGTGAATCATGCCTAATAATGTCATTCCGACTGACACTGTCGGGTTTGCTTAACTCCAACCATATTGAAACAAATGCAATAATCAATTATAAGGGTTAATATGTAGTGCAAAACTAACAAAGTGGAAACTTCATAAATAAGAAATTTCACAAATGATCACAGCATTCATTTAAATAATTAAATCTTTAAAACGAGACAGCTATAATACATATTTAAATTAATACAGAAAAGGTTAGGACCAAATTATTAAAAAATTTTTTTTTTACAATTCTAACCTTAAATTAGTCTTATTTACATTATTCAACAAATTATATAAATTATGCGCAATGACAAGGCTGATAAAAATTATCTTATCACATTACATTCAAATATTAATTCCTATCAAAGAAACTAATTATCATTTTTAACATTAAAAATAATAAAATATACAAGTGGTAGGTTACTTGTATAATGGAAAAAAACTGATGGAATAAAATTAGAAGCTCAAGGTAACTTTTTCCGATCAAGGATACTTTCATCTCATAAAGATTTTTTTGTTTATAAAATTAAAAATGTTTTCAAATAAAAGAAAAATATTGAATTTACTAGTATGACAAAGATGTACAAGGAAACTCTTTGTGCGTACTGCTTTGAAATGGAATTTATATCCAAAAATATATGAAACAATGTATTTTTAATAGTTATAATGAATATCGAGGAATAAACTTGGTGAAAACAAAAATACCAATTGGAGGACATATTGTCGGTTTATTGCAAAAAGTATCTAAATATATTTTTGATGGAGCTAAACTTATAGATACATATTTGTGATTTCAGATCATATTTATCTATGCAAAATAACATAAATCCTATAACATGTCAGAAATAGATGCAATAAGTCCACTGTTTTGATTTCTCAAAGAAAAATTCACCAAAGTACCCAGTGATTTTATTTTTTAAAATGTTACTTAATAACTTTTTGCAATAAACCTAAGGTATTTTTCTTTTGTTTCGAACAAGTAGAAAATTATTCTTACAACTATAACTCGCAAAAGTATTAATGCTCTAGTATATTTATAACAATAGATAACAATTTTTAAAATGTTAAACATATTTCAGTTAAAATTGTTATATTATTTTGATATTTTAGGAAATATGATTTTAAAGTTGATATATAACAGGTAAGATGTAATGTAATCCAAAAATAATAGCTGATAGGTGTGATATTTCAAAAACAAAACAAATATAAATTTTTTATAGATCAGTCGTTTCAGGTAATCACAAATAAACAGAAATATCATGATTACGAATGAAAGGAGTCTTCCCTCACGGAACTAATTTTCATTCCACACACATTTAACAAATATAGTCTTCTCCACAACAATGACTTCAGACATTGAGGTCTGCCATCATTCTCCTGAAATCGGCGAGGGTGTTGTAGTCGGGATCAGAGTCGATGTCGGCAAAGTCCCTCCTCGTGTCTTGCTGGGAGTATGTAGGGTTGTAGCGCGACAGTGACAAAGGACAAGGCAGCAGCTCGGGCATCACTGAGTGGTGAGTGATGAGGGCCGTCAATGTTCGGAACTCTTTCGTGAATCCCTGAAACATACAAGCAATTTATTTTATACTAAAACAATCTGTTAGTTAATCCACATTTTAAAAATAATAATAATAATAAATTGACACTATGATGGGTAATGAAAGGCTCAGGAGATAGATAGAAGTAAAGATAGACTTAACTCATGACTTAAAAGTATTCATAGAAAGCAGTAGGGTTAGGTCTGTGCTTTATTTGTCTACTTTATTCTCTGGGAAAATGTCAGATACTCATTTCAAGCAGAACCAAATGTCTGAATCACAGCTTTTATTTTGAAAAGGTTGACTAATCTTCATGACAAATTAAAAATATACAGTATTTGCAAATCGATTGTATCTTTTCCCAAGTTTATTAAAACTTTTCCGTTTAAATTGTAACCCAACCACGTGTGAATTGATTTGTGAATATTACGATTTATTTAAAAATAACTATCCATATTTCGAGGTGTTTCTTAGATAATTATATTATGTGGTAATTTCAACTAGGTAGATTTAAGATTACAAAAAATAATGTTATTAATTTTTAGATCTTTATTATGTATACATGTTGAAAGATTTAAGAGAAAAATCCTCAACACGATAACCAGAGCGATCTGGGATCAGAGTACTAACACATGGAGATGAAAGACCAATAAAGAACTGCTTACAGAAACTGGTCAATCAATATCCCATGATATGAAGGCATGGAGGTTGAGATGGATGGGGCATGTAGCTTGTAGCAATCCATCTGGAAGCCACTGCGTAACAATGAAGGCAAAATACCAGTTGGAAGGCCAAAAAGAAGATGGATAGATGGAATCAACAAAGATGCAACAGAGGTGCATGCAGATAAATGGAAAGAAATAGCCCAAGACAGGCAGAGATGGAGCAGGTGGTAAAAGATCTACATGATCTGTGATGCCAACAGAAAAAAAAAAAAAAAAAAAGGAAAAATTATGTATTACATTATTTCTTTATGTAGGAGGTGAAGGGAAATGGATTTCACAAATTTAATAGATCTTTCATTAAATTACCATCTGAAATTTAGTTTGACAGTGAGTTTTTCAAATAAATTATTAGTTTATTATAATTCTTAGGTATAGGTGTCACTTTTTATGTTTTTGTTTATGTCATCGAAGCTTCTAGAGCCAATTTGCAATGATATAATTAAAATAATAACAGAATTTGTAGTTTGTTTTAATTTGGAAGTTCTGCTATTGTAATAGGTTGATTAATCTATTTTAACGTCCTTTAAAATCTCTTTTTTTGTTTTAGTAATACATTTGGGGAAAATGATCCCAATTATCACAACATTTTCTCTTGGATTTCAATATTTTATCTAATTTTATAACAAAACTAATGAAATTAATTAAATACATATATACATTTCTCTAAATGTTATCTTATTTTTATTAAGTTAATATTTAATCTATTAAATAACATAACAAACAGTATTTTATTAAATGACAATGGATCCCTAAAAGATAATAGTAAATATCATATATTAAATATTAACTCAATAAAAGTAAGATAATGTTCAACAGAATGTATATAAGAATAAAACAATTTTAATTCTTTTGTAATAAAATTAGGTGAAATATTAAATAATTAATAAAAATTGTTTGTTAAAATCATGTGAAAGACATTTTAAAATATAATATATACAACAAAGAAAATTAAGTGTTTCTATTTATAAGCTAATTAAGAGATAAAACAATTATAATTAATGCATTTTAATTATTTTTATAGTTAATGGACCCATTTGGTCTTTAACTAAACAACAATGGCCGCTAATCCCGAGTATAAGATAGCCCATTAGGTGGTCGTCAGGAGTTGGTTGAAACAAAGGAAGCAATCCCTGGCCTACAATGAAAGGCCCATTTCAGACCCTTCCATTGTCCGCAATCATTTCTACATATAGTTCCGTCCCTTTATTATAAATGCCTGCTGCCTCTACGATCCCATTCTGCACTTATTATTTAGAGTGGCATTGTATCTTTATTAAACAGAATGGTTCGGCAGTAGAGCGTTTAAACTTAGCGAGGTATAAGGAAGGGAAGGGTTCCCGGAGAAATCACTTAGCATACTTAAAATGAGAATTGTTTTATCATTCTAACATAAGGTAAAAATAAATATATATTTTTATAACTTGCTTCTGAAGGAACATTTTTGTAATCAAGACATGATATTTTTATCTTGGAGGATTTACAGTTTTTATGCTAAATAAAATTTTAAAAAATCCATACTTTAATAATATTTAAAAAAAAGTTAATTAACTAACAATCAACAATTAGAACCCTCTCTTTTATTCCAAAACAATAAAATTCTTTATTAACAATAAAAAACCTTTATTTAGTTTTATCAGCGATCTCGCTCAATCTCCACTGTCTTTAGCACAACTGACAAGGTTGAGAGAATAGTGCAAGGATCTCTTGGAGTCCTGCTTTTCCCTCTATGTTTGGGGGGACAAGCCTGGCTTGGGATACGTACCTGATTATTTTTATTGTATATAGGTATAATTGTTTTTATGTTTTTAATTTACTTATCTTTAAGTTATTTTATTTTTTATTGTATATACTTTTTGATTATTATTTAGTTCTTATTTTGCTTTTATTTATTCTATGTTTTCTGTGTATATGGTGTGGATGTAGTTTTATCTCACTATAATTATTGTGTGTGTGATAGATTGTTATATTTCTGAATAAACAAATTTAAAAAAAATAGTGTTATTAAATATTTATTTGTTTGTATCATTTAAGCCTTTTTGTCCCTTTTCAAACATATCAGATTTATATACTATTTATGACCTTCATGTAATTTTTTTAAAATATATGTCAGTTTTTTTACTTTAGACAAAATCTTATTTTTATTAGTGACTTATTAGTGGTATATTTAGTTTAAAAAAAAGGAAACTCTTTTATTACCAAATGTATATTATAATTGTTATTTATTCATATTGATAGTTTCAGTGGGAAACTGCTCAATTAAGCATTGATGCTAGTAATATTATTTTTTGTAAAATTACAAGAGTTACAAATTACAAATTAGCAATTTTTATTTAAAAGTTTGGTAATGGTTTTTTTTTTATTTTATCAAAGTTGTCAGAAACTAAAATTTTCATTAAGTTTTGATTACAAATTTTTATTTAACAAATTCATAAATAAAAAATGAACACATATTGCAAACAATTTTTTTCTGAATGCCAAATTAATTTTCTTAATTCAAATGCTGTAATTAATGATAGTGGAATTAAAAATTCAATCCTGATAACAGTCTTTCAAATTTAAAGATGGATATTTTTTTGACAATTTCTTTTTTTTTTTTTAAATTATGAGGACTTTCACTCTGAATTTCTTTTTATGTTAAATTCTCGAATCTTTTGAAATTTATGAGTACCCCTGTTTCAACTATTCCTTCTTGTTCATGTTGTACGGAACCTGTATGATTTTAAAAATTATAAATTATTTAATAAATATAGTATTCCTAAATTTTACCTTAATTTTGTATCCTTTATTTGTCCTAAGGATGAGATAATGTGCTATACCGAGCGGCTGAAATTCGTGTGGTACTCTCAGAGAAAGAGCGAAACAGCCTGGTTTTGATGTGCTTTCTCTTACCATGAACGATCCTACAGGTTCTTGGCCGAGAACTTCGAGGGTTATCTCTCTGTAAAACAATTTTAATATTGATAAATATTTATTAGTTTTGTTACTGATATAAAATGTTATAAACAATGATATTAATACCACTTCAGTGGTAACTAACAGATACCTAATATGTAAAAACTATCATTTTACAATATAAAGAAATATCAGTTTTAAACTGCAATTAAAAATTTTACAATGGTTTATTTTTTTGTTTGTATATTTTTATAACTCTAACTAAGAAGGAATATCAAAATACAATAATGTTTCCAAGTTTCCTGAATGTTTTATTTATTTCAATTATACCTATGTAAAATAAAATTACATATGATTATTTAGTAATAAAAAAAGAAATTCAGAGGTATAACTATATGAAATTCCTTAAATAAGTAATAAATTAAATAATGAATAATAAAATATATAAAATAAAATAAATAATGAGTAATAAATTCTCCTCAATAATCATTATTTTATTGTTCATTAAAATATGAACAGCTTAATTATTTGAACTATTTTGTAGGAATAAAATATGAAAGTTTTAATCATTGCTTTCTAATAACGAGTTCTATTAAAATAAATAACAACTCATACAACCACACAAAACAACTCATTTTCTTATCTGATTAAATATTAAAAAATTGAACTAACCTAGGAATTCCAGCTTGAAACCAAGGCGCGGTCTTGAGCTCACCATCTTCCGGCCTGTTATTAAGAGAGTCTGTCCTCTCCGGGGGAGCTGGTGGTCCTACCACTTTACTATCTGATCCATCCGACACCCTGGAAAACATAACACGTTCATAATCTATTACATTTTAAATAAATTCATAACAACATATAATTACATGTTCATTCATTACACTCCCCCTTTCAAGAAATGTAATTATGCGAATGAAGAATGAGAAAAATGTAGACATTACACTCAGTGTTTTCTTGTTTCTCAAAATTGAAACTCTTCAAAAATAAGGCTAGCTCCGAAAATTCATAACTCCATCAGAATTTACCTTCAAATTTATTGAGCAAGTATCACCATCAAATTTATGAAGAGGGGCGCATCTTTTACAGAGTTTTCAATTTTTGAGGGGGACATATTTTGAAGGGTTTATGAATTTTCAAACCAAAAGACAATGATAAAGTAAGGAACAGACAGCAGGATGTATGTAATCATGTATGTAAAATGATATGTATATATTTTTATATAAATTAGGCTAATTATCACCAACAATTTTATTGATATGCTATTTAATTTGACGTTTCCACCATACTAAGGGCCATTTTCAAGTCTTGATGAGTCCTACGTCATATATTCATCATTAATGTCTCAAATAATATGTTCAGTGTCATGGTTATCATAATTGTCATGGTCTATAGGGGTTTCACCTACGTCATTTCTGGAGGGACAGCCCTTGGCAATTTAATGTTCACTGAACATATTATTTGCGACATTAATGATGAATATATAACAGAGGACTCATCAAGACTTGAAAATGACCCTTAGTATGCTCGAAACGTCGAATTAATACCGTATTAATAAAATGTTTGGTGATAATTGGCCTAATTTATATAAAAAGAAAATAATCTATTATATTTTAAATAAATTGATAACAACATACAATTACATGTTCAAGTCAGGGAAATCCATCCCCTCCGAGAATAATAGCGCACACCTCCCCCTTTCAAGAAATGTAATTATGCGAATGAAGAATGAGAAAAATATAGATCTTACAATCACTGTTTTTCTGTGGTTTGAAAGTTTATGAAAATTGGCACTCCTCAAAAATAATGTTCGCTTCGAAAATTCACAACTCCATCAGAATGTAACATCAAATTTATTAAGAGGGAGCACATATTTACAGAGTTTTGAATTTTTGAGGGGGGCACATTTCGAAGACAATAAGAAATTAAGGAACAGACAGCAGAATATGTAATTTTATATAATCGAAGATTTTGAAATTGTACTCCCGCTTGTTCTGTTTTTAAGAAGAGGATAACAATAAAATATCTTGGGAGGGTTGGTTTCTGGCCGTTGGTCTTTGGGAGGAGGATGGACACACCCACCCATGATTGTAGCCACTAGTGGATTCAGAATTTAATTTTGGGGGGAGGAGACTTCAGCCCCGAAAGATTTTTTTTCATATACATATAACAATAATTAATTAGAAAAAAAAAGGAAGAAAGTATCTACCTATATGAAATGGTGTTTAAGTGGTTCTTGAAGTCCTATTAAATGTAATGATCTTTGTCACCTAGTTTGACTATTATTTTTACTATTTATGTATTTTTCTCTTCTGCTCAGGTTGTGCTTTTTCTTTTGGGTATATATGCTTATATTTTATATTTTTGTCTTTATGTGTGCCAATATGAGAATGTACGTATAAATAATTCCTTTTATTTATTTTATTTTTTCCATTACACCACAAGTATCTTAAGATTTTATTTTATCTTAGTGTCTGCATATTATTATATAAACCACTGTAGATATTATTACATTTTGTATTTAGCTAGTTTTCTATTAGATAGCCTATTGTTTATAAATTGTGTAGTTATGTATATATAAAAATATGTAATTTCTCTTCTTTTTTTTTTCATCACAATTAAGTAATTTTAAGAAGATTTTATGTTCATTTGTATGTATATTCTATTTTTATAAGTTAGTTTTTGGCCAGATTTGTACTTTACTTTGTATTAACTCATCATTGTTATTCTAAAGGGACTTAGTCCCAGAATAAAGTTTAATTTTCTAAAAAAATAAAAAAAAAAAAAAAAAAAGTACAAGAATACTTTAAGAGATAGTTTTTAATATTTTTTTCTGTAAAACATGGTTATATTTTACCATTTTTGGGAGGGGGCTTTCAGGCTGAAGTCCCCCATAGATCCGTCTATGATTGTAGCAACAATATCTCTAAAGCTAATTAGAAAACTTATTGAAATTCTACATTTCTGTAGTGTAATAGAAAATGTGTATGCATTAATATTTGATTAAGTGAAATAACGATGCCATTAATGAGCTCATAAGCTTACAAACATCTGTTTTTCGTGTAAGTTACAACATGGATACATCGTGCCTGCCGATACGAGCTCAATATCATATTTTTTTTTCTGTTAGAGCAGTATATTAGAGAGAGAACAACTGGCGGGCAATTTAACTGTACATTACAGCGGCACTAGGCGCTTGATATATTGTTATTACTCCGCCGTTCGACGTACATCTTCCATGAAAAAACAACATCAAAGATGGCTAAAAAACATAGTCCCAGTTTGCACATTAATTCTGGAAGTGTTTCAACCAATAGCGGTAGGTGCTTAGTTTTATTGCGAGCTGTAAGATAAATATACCTTTATCCTAACACTGAATTTGTGAAATTTATAACTTTAGAAATAAATAAATGTTATTTATTTGGTGTATACTAATATTAGTTGGTTAGATAGAGTAAATCAACCTACAAGTAAATGAAGATAAAATAAAACATATGATAATAAGCCGAAATAATCTAAGGATAAGGATCTAGGAAATCATTCCTGAAAGTAGGCAAATTCAAATAACTCGGCTTCACAATATCTGCAATAAATAAACAACGTTAAGAATTCAGCGTATAACGTTCAGATTAGCGTCTAACAAGCCCTAAAAGAGCTTTCTTTTCACATTCTGAAGTATTGAAATCCCGTAAATGTCAAATGAAGGGTGTACAATGCTATATAAATCTGTAGATAAAGCCACTAGCGGATCCAGAATTCAATTTTGGGGGGGGCTTCAGCCCGAAAGCTTTTTTTTTCATAAAAATGGCGATAATTACCTTGGAATAAAAGAAAGAAACTAGCTATCTATATGAAATGGTGTTTAAGTGATTCCTTAAGTCCTTTTAAATGTAATTACACCAATAATAATACTTTAAGAGATAATTTTTTAATATATATTTTCCCATAAAACATAGTTATATTTTACCATTTTGGGGGGGCTTAAGCCCGAAAGCCCTCCCCCCCCCGTAGATCCGCCCGTGGATAAAGCCAGTTCTGATATCAAAATGCGACACCATGACACTAACCCCCACCGTAGAAAGAAGTTTTGAAAGATTTGAGATAAAAATCCTCCGTACTATAATTCGATCGATCTGGGATCAGAGTACAAACAAATGGAGGTGAAGGAACAATAAAAAGATGTAAACAGAAACTGGTTAATGATTCTCTCATGATATGAAGGGACGGAGGTTAAGATGGGCATGTAGCTCGGAGCTATCCATCGGGAATGTTCTACACAACAATGAATCTCTCAATAGTAGGTAAGAGATCGCTTGGAAGGGCAATAGATAAATAAATATGATCAACAATGATGCAATAGAGCAGCATGTAGATAAGCAAAAAGAAATAGCCCAAGAGAGGCAGAGATGGAGCAGGCTTGTTAAGGCGACAAAAGATCTACATTTATTATTTATTATTATTTACAATTATTTCACAATGGTTTATTATTTCCAAACAATTATACATCTAAAGTAACATTACCATCCTAGTTACAAAGAGAAATAAATAAAAGGTGTTTCCAATTATTGGACTAAACTTTTGTTTTAATCATTAGTAATACGCTAAAAAAAATAGCATTACTTCGGTAACACATTCAAAATTCAAAAACCAAAACCAAGGATATAACCTTTGCAGTAGAACATATATAAAAAAAAAAACTAGAGACCATATCTTTGCTTTTAATTTTCTAATTTCAAAGAATTTTTTTTTTTTTTTTTTTAGGAAATTCCGTAAACTTCTGGAAAACCAATATCGAGAAAAAAATGTATACTTTTTGAGTTATTCGGTATTTAATTTTACCATCCCTCGTAACTTTTTTCCCAGCTTCTTTTAGTTGAAGTATGTTATATAGATAAATTTAAAGGGCGTAAGGGGGGGGGAGGAATTACTTTAGTGAAGTTTCATTGAAATTGGTAAATTCGTTTAGGCGCTACAGTCTATAGCAATGCAGGTTTTTCGGCCGCCATTTTGAAAGTAAAAGGCGGATAATAATGTCAATGAAGGAGGATCATCCTAGGGTGACCTCTGATTTTATATCCAGATTTGAAAAAAAAATCAGTCCAGTAGTTTCGGAGAAAATGCGGCGACGGCGGACGGACAAACAATTTTTTTATTCATTTTTCAAATTTTACGTATCTTGAAACATAAAACCTCAAATTTTGAGAGGGGGTTAAGTTTTTGAAATTTTTGGTCGATTACAATGGTTCATTATTGAAAATAATAAACCAAAATATATTCAAATGGATTTTAGTGTAGGAAAGAATGACAGTGATTTTTGATTTATTCTAAATTGTTAATTTAATTAATAATTTAGACAGAGATACAGAAGGCGGTAAAATAGAAAAACAAATATTTATTTTTTTTAGATCTATCTTTTATACTAATATATATATAAGCTGTAAAAAATATCCCGGGGCCCATCCCATTCCTGTTGTAGAACCAACTGAGATAATTTATACATACCTATGCTCGTGTGTATATTACATAGACATGAAAAGAAATTGCAGTGCAACGATAAACACCCCAGAGCTGCACTTATCTAGAGCACACAGGAAATTAGAAATGGAGCCAATAACAAGTACATACATAGCACATAGCACATTGCACATGCACACAGTTACGAGCTGCGATAAATTGCCAAGGAAGAGGCGGTTATTGCTTCTAGTAATAGTCCCCAACATCTTCCAAGTTATAAATATCGCGGCCTCTTACATTTACAACTGCCTTCTCGATACAACTTTCGTATTTATTGCTTATATTACCAT